AGAGCTCAATCTCCTGTGAGTATCTCTGTCTGCGTGTCGGATAGGCTCCATATCCAGAATGCCCGGTGTTATCATCCATATTCCTAGGAACTCAGCTGTTGGGGTGGCAGCGATCAGAGTTGTTTCCTGTATCAAGCTTGATGTGCTTACAAGGCCTGTGAATCCCGAAAGCCCTGGTTTGTTTTCTTCCTTGCAACAGATGTAATTACAGCGCTTACTTCCACCCATCTGGGAGGCACTGAGCTTTGAAATGGGCTAGCACACTCTCTCTGCCCTGCATCCCTCTCCCTGGGGCTCTCCCAGATCATCAGGGCCTTGTTTTCCACCGGATTCACTTTAATGCTGAGTGTTACAAGGGCATGTCCGGGGCTGTCATTGCTTCTTCCTCTTTATGTTAAGCTAGTTTAATTTTCAGCTCTTGTCACTGGACTTCATTACATGGGAGGAAAGAAATTTGCTCTAACAGATAGTATCTTTCTCTCCCAATCGGAGAATCACTCCTGATCAGTTCTGTACCTGCTGGGTTAGACGGTCAAGGTGTGGTGCTTTATGTTTAAGGATAAAGCCCCGTGAAGCACAAACTGAGATTATGCTGATTTGGCGCTTTAACGTTTCTTTGGAGCATGGCACTAATTTAGCAAATCAGTTTCTCTGTACAGCATCTTAGGCTGAATCTACTGTTTCTCTTCAGCCCTATCATGGGTCTTTGTGACAGCGCCCCTAGTTGGTTGCCCAGGTCGCTTCTAATGCTGCAGTAAGATCCCTGATTAGCTTCAGTAAACACCACTATCTTCAGCCTTTGTGCCCCAAACGCCCGCGGTCTCCCAGCACCCAGGTGGCAGTGTGGCCCTGGTAGCACTGCCCTTTGATAGATCACAACACAGACCCAGCAGAGCAGTGGGACTTGCTCAGGTTATACAGGGACCTGTGGCCAGATTAGCGCTCAAGTTCCCAGCTTCTCAGTCCAGTGCTGTGCCTTCCAGACGCTTCCCCCAGGCACAGACATAACACAGACACAGCAGTCACGGCCATTTACTGACCATCAGAAAGGTGCCGGACCCACGTCAGTGTGATCCTCACAATTCTGGAGAATTTAGTTTTGCAGCTAAAGAAGCTGAAAGAAGCTAAATAACTCAGCCAGATCTGCTCACTAGTCATCACAGAATCCAGGTGGAGCCAGGTCTGTGTGAAGTCACACCCTGCATTCCCCTTCCTGCTTTGCAAGTTCCAGGTGGTTTAGAAACGCCTCAGTGACTGCATAAGAAGTAGAAAATCTGCTCACCCTTCCCACGCCTCCATTGGTTTGATCAGAGGATAGTCATTTCATAGCTGTTCTGTGCTGGGCGCCATGAGTGGGAGACAGTGCCCTCTCCTTGGGGCGCTTCTTGCTCAAGGCTTTCCCCCACTGTCCCTTCTCTCTCTCCTGCAGCATCCACCATCCCTCTCATTGCCAGACATGCCAGTCTTATCTGCACTGTACCCTGACGTTTCTTTCTGTGTTCGGTGGCCACGTTAGGACTGGGTACACACGACCAGTATTGTGTGTAAACAGGGAGGCCCTCCTGTGCCCCGTTAGTGACACTTAAGCGAGGACTCGCGGAGTCCTAGGCATCTACTGTGTACTCCTTACTCTTCTCAGCCGTTATGTGGGGCAGCTGTTTCCGCTGCACTCTTAGAAACCCTAGCTCAGAGAGAACAGGCAACTTGCCAGCAACTGTGGTGCCAGTGATGGGGATGCTGGGGTGCAGGCACAGGCAGGCAGGCTCCAGAGCCCAGGCTTTTGTCTGCCAGCCACTGCCGTGTCACAGGCAGGCTGTGGTCACATGCGATGGAGGGTCCAGCATAGGATATGCCAGAGCAACAACAGAAAGAGGCTTTTATCCACAAGTCCCACTGGTTTGGTAGATTTCTCTTCCTTCTTAAAAGGGTTGGTATTTTCTGACATTTGAGAAATAATCCTTCCCCTTAAAGTGAATTAAATAAAATGAAATAGATATTTCACTGAGATACAGGCTAAACATGCCAGAAGTCACAAAGAATCTTTACAAAATCCAAGTTCTTAGAAATAGGAAGACAATGCCAGTGATTTCACAATGGGCCAAGGAGAGCAAGCTGCTGCCCGCTCTGATTCCTAAGAGGGACAGCTCAGAGTAAAGAAGGATGTGGGATGTTCAGCAATGTTTGTTAAACATTGCTGATGTTTAAAATGAAGGATGAGCAAGTAGCTCTGGTATTCAGGTTCATAGGCTAACAGGGGGACGGGCAGACGGACAGTCACAGGGAGCACAGTATGGTTATGGACCGGCCGCCTGGCTCCTTACTTACTGACAGAAGTGCTGAGAGAGAGCTACCAGCGCAGAGCCTTCGTGTCTCATGTGTGCAAGAGTGTAATCTGGACCCCAGAATGGTGTAATTTCAGAGACATTTTGACGATGTATGTAGATAATGTGAGTGTTGTTTCAAACGAGGCTGCCCTGGTAAATATGGTGTATGTGGTTATTATACCTCAATAATCTCTCACGCTTTGCTTATCAACACTGGAGAAAATGAAATCTTCTTGTGGATTTCTCATGTCCCAGAATCTGTGAGATGTTAAGCTCCTCTTGATTGACTCATCTTTACACCCCAGGTGCTAATACAGCAGAGGTCCCAAAAATACCTGAACCAGAGAACTGGCTCCCCATTCATGAGGTGCTGAGAGGGGACGAGCCTGCGTAGGGTGGGGCATAAACCAGCTGAAGAGGACTCTGGATGAGCCCCTTCCAGGGCCCTGTCCTGCCCCTCCTCCTTACCCCACCTCACTGCTGGATCCATTGACCCACAGAGAAGCAGACAGAAATCCTCCCCTTCATGAGGTATTCGTCATTCCCTGAATGCTTCCTCTTTTTTTTTAAACTGTCTTGTTCCCGGCAAGATTTTAAGACAGGTGAGCACCTGCTGGGTCCCAGGCCCATCTACAGAGAGCTCTGCTGTCTCCTCAGGTGACCTGTTCTCAGACAGACTTCCACAGAGACAGCACAGCCTGGCCAGGAACAGGGCATCTCCATTCTGCAGCAGCTCTGCTTCCAGAGGGTTCCAGGGTGGCCCCAGGCGTGGCGCCTTTGTTCCGTATCTGGGTTGTCCAGGATGCTGGCTTGTGCTATCAGAAAGGACCTGTCACCTTCAGTTATTTCACACCCATGGAACCACCACATTCTTCAGTTTCTGAAGGATGTCACTGGAAAATCCCTTCCCTAGGTATCTCCAAGGAGTGTGGGGCCTCGAGCAGAACATGATGACAAGCCCAGGACTCAGTGCCACCCTGCATTGGCATATCATGTTTGAAATTATGGTTTTGGGTATGTGTTTGTGTGCACACGTACTTACCTATGTATTACTCCAGCTTTTCTCTCCAGGAGAGGGGGACTAGGGTTTATAAGGTAGAGGCTCTTGTCATGACCCTTGATTGTGAATTTTTGATTCCTACTGGGCAGGTCTCATAGCCTTTTTCTCCTCAATTTACACAATCGTGTTAACTTACATGGTAAAGTAGGTAGGTGGTGCTGCTGCTGCTAAGTCACTTCAGTCGTGTCCAACTCTTAGCAACCCCATGGACTGCAGCCTACCAGGCTCCTCCGTCCATGGGATATTCCAGGCAAAAGTACTGGAGTGGGTTGCCATTTTCTTCTCTGAGGTAGGTGTAGGGCTTGCAATTAAACCTAGTAAACCATGTGGCAGAAACATCAAATTTTATTATACCTAAGGGTTGCTAAGATCAAAGTGAACTCAATGAATGTTGAAAACATACCTAATTGGGACACCTTAGAAAAAGAGAAATGCTGGTTGTTTGGTTGATGTGGTATAGTTGAATGGGAAAAAGGCAAATGCCCATAAGCTAATCGGGTCCTGTTTTCCTTAGGGCGGGGTGAGGACAGGAAGTCCAGCTGTGCTGAGGGTTCTGGGTACAGGTTAGCGGTGCTACTCCAAGTGTTGCCTGGGGGCTCGGACTCCACCCCACACCTTCTAACCAGAATCTGCATTTTAATGAGATCTCTCTGTGGTTCTTACACACATTAATACTGAAGAAGAGCTAGATCAGAAAACATGAGTTTGACCAGCATTTGAGACTCCTACACTTGCTGCCTCAGTGAGCAGACTCCCAGAGGAGTTTATCATGTGCCTGGAATAGACTCATCAACTATGTAGTGCTTCCTGGGGGCAAAGGCATGATGCTATTTTTAACAGTACCATTTTCTACTTAAAAAAAAAATTTTATTGGAGTACAATTTACAATGTTGTGTTACTTTCAGGTGTATAGCAAAGTGATCCAGTTATACATTACATATATTCTTTTTCAGATTCTTTTCCATACAGGTTATTATAGAATATTGAGCAGAGTTCCCTGTGCTATCTACAGTAGGTCTTTCTTGTTCTTGTTGTTGTTCAGTAACTAAGTTGTGTCCAACTCTTTGCGACTCCATGAACAGTAGGGGTCCTTGTTGGTTATCTATTTTATATATAGTACTGTGTATATGTTCATCTGGAAGTCCTAATTTATCCCTCCCTTCCACATTTCCCCTTTGGTGACCATAAGTTTGTTTTTTGAAATGGTAGTCTATTTCTGTCTTGTAAGTAATTTGTATCATTTTTAAAATTAGATTCCATATATGAGTGATATATTTACCTTTCTCTGACTTCACTACTATGAAAATCTCTAGGTCCATCCATGTTGCTGCAAATGGTATATTTTGTTCTTTTTTAATAGCTGAATAATATTCCACTGTCACATGTACTACATCTTTATCCATTCTTCTGTTGGTGAACATTTAGACATTCTATGTCTTAGCTAGAATGCTGCAATGAACACTGAGGTGCATGTATCTTTTTGAATTATGGTTTTATCCAGATACATGCCCATGGATGGGATTGCTGGATCATATGGTAGTTATGTTTTTATTTTTTCAAGGAATAATTCAGGGCCTTTTGTGTTTCCATACAGATTAAAAACTTTTTGTTCTAGTTCTATATAAAATGGCATTACTAATTTGATAGGGATGGCACTGAATCTGCAGATTGCCTTGAGTAGTATACTCATTTTGAGCATTGATTGTTCCAATACAAGTACATGGTATATCTTTCCATTTGTGTTATCTTTCAGTACTTTTATCAGCGTCTTAAGAGTTTTCAGAGTAGAGGTTATTTGCCTCCTCAAGTAGGTTTATGCTTGGGTATTTTATTTTTTTTGATGTGATGGCAAATGGGATTGTTTCCTTAATTTCTCTTTCTTTCATTGTTAGTGTATAGGAATGCAAGAGATTCCTGTGTATTAATTTTGTATCCTGCAACTTTATCAGATTCATTGATGGGCCTAGTAGTTTTCTGGTAGCGGCCTTAGGGTTTTCTGTGTATAGTATCCTATCATTGCAAACAATGAGGGCTCTACTTCATTTCCAATTTGGAGTCCTTTTCTTTTTCCTCTCTGAGTGCCATGGCTATGCTGAATAAAAGTAGTGAGTGTAGACATCCTTGTCTCGTCCCTAACCTTAAGAGGAGACGTTTTCGGCTCATCACCGTTGAGAGTGATCTGTGAGTGTGCCACGTGCCTTCTCTGCTTCTGAGCTCACAGGACCTTGATTTGGCTTCCAAAATACATCCAATGATGAAACAAATGCAGAAATCTAGGTTCTGCCTCTGGAAAACAATGTAAAACCTAATCTGGTTGCCACCATGTCCTGTACAGTGGCTAGTCTTACGTAGCTCACCACTTAGCTTTGAGTTCTCTTGTGACAAAAGCAAAGAAAACACAATTGGCAGAAAGTATATATAACTAGTAATTGTGTCCAGTACAGTTTTCTCAGCACAGGGTTTGATGGGCATTTCTTCAGTGGCTCATCATCTACATTTTCATAAGAAGCACAGCAGTGTATTTCATGAGATCTTTTTCTTGCTCTCGTTACTTTGTCAATTTCCAGCTTGGCTTTTACAACCTTCTTTTTAATCAACCACTTTAACACCCCCACCCAGCACCACCCTACCTAGTCCATTCCTGACTTTGTTCCACTTAGACCCTCCTCTACACTTTACCATGGAGTAACCATGGAATCAGCAAAAGTAAGGTCAGGGTGGTTTGGTCCCTTGTCATATGGACTATGGGGATGGCAGGCCCCACCGCTGAGGTGCTGAGTGGCCAGTGAGAGGCAGGTGTCATCCATAACCAGTCCTGCTCCCCAGTTCATGCCAGCAGTACTGGAGGGATGTGGAAAATCAGGGCAGGACCATGTTTTCCATTGTTAAGTCTCTCAAAAGTATTTATGTGTTTTTCTCTTCTTGCTTGTTTGAGCTTGGTTTGCAGTATTTTTCAAACCTTCAGATCATCTTTAGCTTGGAACGCCCCTGTGCATCTTACTTAGTATAAACTAAAGTGTGATACTCCACAAAGTTTCTCTCCAAGATACAGGATCGTTTTTCTACCAAATTAAATTGAGAAATCTTAAAGTGTCAAGGCAAGTTGGAACATTCTCAGAGTACAGAGTAATCTCTCCATGTGTCTGGAAACACAGAGGTGTGAGTCTAGAATGAAAAGTGGGGCCATCCTCCTCTCTTTCTGGCTGCCCGGCTTGGGATTCCCACGGGCCAACCTCCGCCACCCCCATGTCACTGAGAGCATCAGGAAGAGTTAAGGCACCTGGGGCCTGGGCTGGTCTCCAGGACAGCACAGCGGGATCACACAAGCCCGGGTGCTGTGAGCGTCCTTACTGTTAGCTGCTCTTCCGATCTTGAAACACATCCTTTCACAGAAGATGAAGCTGTGAAGCTGTTTCACACTCACGAGCATGGTTTATTCAGGGGTGGCACTTATTTCCATTCTATCTTAGTGCTTAGGGTTCTTCCCCCTAAGGGTGGGAAAATTTTGAAGAAAATCAGCAAAGTCATTCCTAGAACACAAGTTTATATAACCTCTTAACACTGTAATGCTTTTGAAAGTTCAAATCCTTAGGGGGTGGGGAGGGATAGACAGAGCAGCACCTTCCTCCTAGAGTGGTTATGAGGGCTCAGTGAGCTCATTCACAAAGAGCACACAGGAAATGCTCAGTACATACTAACAGTTCCATGTGGTGTTACTTGTTCTCTGCCTCCCCTGTTCCTGCCAGAACAGGTCTTCAGACCCCCATCTGCAGCCCTGCAGTCCCAGAGCCCTCGCTCAGCTCTCAGGGATGGGCGTTGACACCTTCCTTGTTGAAACACACCATCATTTAACTGAGGATGCTCTGAATTGTAGTAATAAAAACCAGCATATACTGAGCCCTTATAGGGGAGACCATGCAGATAAAAGATATTTTATATAAGGATTTCATCTAATTTAATATTCAGTAAGCCCATAAGGAAGCATTTTCCTCTCTCACAAGTCAGAGAAGGGACTTGCCTAAGGGTCACCCAGCAGGTTAGTTTAGAACTTGTATTTCAAGTCACCTCTGACTCCAAAGCCTACACAGCGGCCTCTGCCAGGATCCCATTTCTTCCTCCAGCTGTGAGCTGGATTGGATCCACAGAGAGCAGGACCATGCTGTTGGCACAGTAACTAGTGGGACAAGGCGAAACTGCTGGAGAAGCAAGTTAGACTTCCCCCTCTCCCAAAAGCAGACTAAAATCTCAGTCCCTTGGGTAGCTACCAGCTTTACAATAAGGCAAGGAAATGACATAATTTTTCATTTGTAACATATCCCCGCCACCAGCACAAAGAAGGGGCATCTTTAGTGGCTGTATTCAGTGCTGGATATGGGGGTGAAAGGTTGGGTGGAGCTAAATTCTCCATAGTAAAGGCAAAGAGGAACCGAGACACCCCAAAGGAAGCTCCTAAGTATGGAAACACTGAGGCTACAGGGAGAAGCCTTAGGGAGGTTGTCAGCCTAGAGCTGGCACTAAGGGCCTGAGGGGGTTGCAGCCACTTGTAATAAATATTCAGTAAAGTAGCTCATTGATTCCTGGTAGCGTGGGTTTTCTTCCGCGTGAAGGAAGCACTGCATCATGTTCCATAGAGGCTGCCCTTGGATGTTGTTAATCCTACTGTTTCTGATTTCTCAGGCAACCTCAGAACCTGTTCTGGATCCACAGCAAATCCAAGCATTTGATCAGCTCTGCCATCTCTACCGAGGAAGTTCCAGGGTAATGTTCATGTGGTTATCTAAATTGTCATTTCCCTGTTTATAATTACTCTTTTGATAATGCAGTGTCCCAGGTCCTCACTCCAGCCTCCTCCTCAGTCTGTAAGGTGCCCTGCCATCCCTGTCATGGTGTGTGGAGCCCTGAGAACTTGGCAAAGGATGCAGAAATGGAAAGATCTCTGTCCCTTACTTACCCTGGGCTGATGACACAGGAGGGCTTCTGTGTTTGTACTGCCTCCAGAGAAAGCAGGCATAAGCCCAGTCCCTCATCTGGGAGCCTTTTTACTGATTACTGTCAGATCTGCCCTAAGCCCCAGACTCTGCTGTACATCTGCATTGGTTGAATTTGTTTTGGCCATGAAAGATAAATGCCAAATTGTAGTGGCTTAACCAAGACAGAATTGCAAATGCAGGGATCCCAGGGCACATTCCATGAATCTCTCTCTGGATTTCTTCTACTTTGTGGGTCTATCATCTCTAATATATGGGTTATACTCACATGGTTCAGCATGGTTGCCCCAGCTCCAACCATCACATCTGCATTCCTGTTAGCAAGGTGGAAGAAAAGGAAGAAGTTCATACGCCCTCTATTTAAGGATAGTTCCTAGAAACTGTGTACACCACTTCCACTTACCTTCTTTGTCCAGTACTTAGACACATGACCTAACTGCAGTGGAGACTAGGGAAACTGGTCTTGATTCCAAAAGCCCTTAAACTACTGAATTCCTGTAACTGTAAAAGAAGAATACATGTTTAGAGGGCTACTGGCAGTCAAGCCACAACACCCTGTCTCTGTGTGGCATTTGTCTGTCATCCAGTCACCGCCAATACCCTGGGCTCATCCTTCCCACTCCACAGGGCGATCTCCTATCTGTTTCTCCCCTTTTCTTCCAGCTCACAGAGGTCACTGAAGGTCTTCTGTCCCTTCTCTAGGGATTCTGCTGCTTGCAGGGCACCATCTCCAAGCCCCAAAGTCCTGTTACCCCCCTGGCTTATAACACGTTCCTGGCTCTCCAGCCCCTGCAGATGGAGTCAATCTTAGCCAGCTCCTCCTCGCCCCGAGTCACACCTAAATTCTAGTCAGGCCAGATTTCTTCCCCACGCTTTCCTTGAGCTTGCACAGACTGTCTCTGGGCTCTTGTTTTTGTGCTGCGCTCCCTCTTCCCATTCCCCACACACCTGCTAGGTTGGTGGCAGCCCAGAGGAAAAACGGTGTTCCATCTCTGAGAGCTGCTCTGGACAGAGGCTTTTCTTCCAGGAGGTCCACTGACCTGGCCTCACCTCGCCCCTTCCCAAGCCCGGCTCTGCCCCGGGAGTGGGGTTTCTGGGCCTTTGATTCTCAGGAAGTTCTGCTTCAAACTATTGAGCCACTATTTGGGACCCATCAATTTACAGAACACTTAAGGTCAGAAGTGGAAAACAAAAAATATTTTTGTGATTGATTCTTTCACTTCAGTGTGTGAATGTGAAAGAACTTCGGGTTTATGTAGTAGTCCTTGCAGAGAATGCCATAGGCTGGTGGCAGCCCAGAGGGTTACAGAAGATGGGAAGTGGCGTAGGTGGGGCTTGTGCAGAGCGCGGGACCCCCCTCTGTAACCTGCTCGACAGCAGTGGGAGTCCCTGCAGGGAGCCTGGTTCGGGACTCTGCCTTGGACCACAGCCTGCCTGAGCAGGGCCAGGTGCTGGAGTATTTTAGGTAAATCGGCACTGTGAACCAAGGCTCTTCAGATGTCTCCCCAGTTACCACAGCCACTGCAGTGAGTTTTCAACAGGACAGACACATGTAAGCCTCCTGCCACTATCACCTAGGTGAGGAAAGAACCCTTATCAGAGGTCGGAGGGCAGTAAAAGGCAAGACAACCTGGGGGAGGTGGGAATAGAGCAGGTGACCGACGTCATCCCCAGGGGAGGCAGAACCACAGGCAGCTCGGCCAGCCAAGCAGGGACCGAGGGACCGGAGCTTGAATCCCAGGCTACCACTCACTCCTGGGGTGACCCAGTTACTTCACTTCCCAGGGCTCTGGGTTTTTTACCCAGAAGGTGGTTGTGGAGGATCAGACACACTTCAGGTAAAAGACCTAGTGGCATGCTCCAGTAGCCTAGTGGGCACTGGGGGCGGTTACCTGGGGCTTGGGGAAGTCCTGGCACTGGGAGGCTTGCGCTGCTGTAGGAGACAGCTCGGTCCTCACAGCTGCTGTCTCTCCAGGTAAATTCCAGGTGTGGCACTCCACTCTCCTCTGACGTCAAGGGCATCTCGGGACTAGGTCATCAGGCTCTGTACCTAATCTTCCCGGCGGGCTAGATCCACGGTCTGCCTTCCTTGGCAGGTCTCCCAGCACCGAGCCTGTAACAGGTGGAGGGTGTCACTGGTGAACACCGGGGAGCAGGGAGGGCACTTAGAAGAGAAGGTGGCATCCGTGAGTGTCCCTGGAGGCCCTGAGTTTGAAGTGGCAGCTGGGGCGTCCATCGGGAGCTATCTGGATCATGAAGGCAAGACAGAGCCAGAGATCACCACTCACTCTGAGGAAAGCCCACTAAGGAGAAAGGGAGTTTGAAGTGAGCTGGGCAACAGGGTCACGTGCCGTCTGCAGAGGGTACACAGCGTGAGGGAGGCTCAGACGCTTTGCCATGTCAGAAAGTGTCACAGTGTGACGTGCCTGTGAGACTGACCACGTCCAGCCTCCTCCTTGTTAAAGGAGAAAATTTAGGCCTTACCAGAGGACGTGAACATGTGCAGAGTCACCAATGTTGTTAGCTAGATGCAGATGTGGGGTCCATGCCCGGTCTTACCTCCAGCCCCCGCTGACTGTGTCCCCTCCTCTGCAGCTGGCCCTCCTCACAGAACTCTCCCAGAATCGCGGCAGTGAGAGCTGCAGGCCGTTTGGAGGCTCCCAGAGTGGCCCCGCCTTCAACAGCATCTTCCAGAAGGAGAACTTCCAGCTGCAGCTCATTCCTCCCCCGGTGACCGAGGACTGAAGTCTTTCCGGGCCTGGATGACCGAGGACTGAAGTCTTCCCGGGCCTGGAGCCCAGAGACAGGCCGGTCACCCGAGGACTCCACGCCCCCAGGCGCAGAGTCTGGCCCTCCCGATGTTGTTGCAGCCTGGGCACCAGACTGATTTTGTTTTGCTTATTAAGCGAATGAACACAATGTACCTCCATCCAGTTATTTAAGGATATGCGCTTTTGTCCGTTGGGACTCTTTCCCCCAAGAGTGGAGAAAAGGCAGACCGCCACGGGCGGCAGCCCAGTCCACGGCCACCCCAGCCCGTTCTCCTGCTGGTGGTTAGTATGGGGTGCCGTTGCCTCTGCTGCCAGAGGGACAGTGGGCGCTGGGCTGCAGCATCAAGGAAACCTGCACTGGAGGGAATGAAGGGCCTGCGGGGGCCGGGGCACCTCCCTTTCCTCGTGTTTGTGTTGAAACCCATTTGACTGTAACATCTGCCATTTGTAACAATAAATGCCTCCCGTTCATGCCCTGCAGGCCTACTGACTATCTCACTCTCCATCTACCAAATCTCAAAGGACATTCAGAACCTTTGTGGCCACAATTCAGTTCTGTTAGCCAAAAGTCAAGGGCCCTGACTGGAGCAGCCCTGCCTTTATTCCATAAGCAGCTGCGTCACAGGCTCCATCCAGACCACCAGACACCCAGGCACTCCTCGGCCAGGGCCCGGTCTGCCAGAGCAGGATTTTCACATTTCTTGGCCCAAGCACTTTGTACATCATTGAGCCAACCACCGCAGGAGAGCACACCACACAGGCAGAGACTAGGCGTCCACCCGCAGACTCAGGGCCAGCCCGGCCCCCAGAGCCAGAGAGCACAGGCGGCAGCAGGCAAGTGCTCCAGTCCAGCTCCAGGCCCGACGCTCACAGCTCCTACCACCCCGGTAACCCTCCAGCCCTGCACTGCAGGTGCCAGGCAGCATGCCGGGCCCTTTCTAATCCTCCAGAACCCCCAGGAAATCGCTGTAGAAGCTACATAGAACTGCTCACAGAAATCCTGCTTCTGCCACATCCTGGCTGTGATCCTGAGCAAATTCACCTCTCTCAGCTTCAGTTTCTTTATAAAATAAAGACTAAATGAACACATGCCTGAGAACAGGAAGTGCAGCACAGACCCGTGCCGCATTGCCCAGACGTGTGAGCTGCGCTCTTAGCACAGAACTCCCGCGAGGCGGTGGCACGGGGTCTGAGGAGGCCACACTGGGGGGCGTGGAGCAGCAGTACAAGACCAGCAATCAGATGCACGAGGGTCTCAACCCCATCCTACGGACAAGAAAGCTGAGGCTTACACGTGAGGAAAATTTAACCAAGGCGACACACAAAAAGTGGCAGATGACAGATCTGAACTCAGAACTGATTCCAGAGCCAGTGATGTCACTCCACAAATTCCGTATCAGAGGGTTTCTTGATGAGTCTAAAATCAAAGCCAAAGGAGCTTGACAATCTCAAAGCAAAATGCAGCGCTTGCTGCCCTTCCTCAGTCTATACTCGAAGGAGCCAAGGCAGTTAGTTCACTGCACACCCGAGCCCCTGTTCACACCAGGACCAGTAAACACCATCACGGCTCTTCTCCAGCCCTTCCCTGAAACATCAGCCCCAAGAGTTCCTTGTCATTCGAGTCACACCACCACTGAACAAAGGCCAGCAGCTTTATACCCAGGTCATGCCTCCTGTCTCATCTGAGGGTAGATGAGAAACCAACCCCAGGGCTGGGCCCTGGGCCCTGCCGGCCTGAGCTGGGCTCAGTCTGTCCCCTCTCCTGGCACTGAGCACATGTCCTAGTCTGCAGTGACGTCGGGCCCCACTTCAGAGCAGTTCCTCAGGGGAGACTCCTCTCGAGATACATACAGGCTCAGTCGGCAGCCGTGGTCCTGCGGATGAGGCCAGGGAAGCTCGCTGCAGGTGGTGGGGGGCGCTCCCAGGGGTGCGGAACAGCAGCCCTCAGCACGCTATCCGGCCCAGTCAGAGCCCCAGCTGCTCCTCCAGTCACGTGCCCGGAGAAGGATCTGGGGGAGGCAGGCTCCAGGCACCCATCAGCTACCGTTTGGGGAGGGCACGTACCTGGGCTGAGCCGGCTCCTCCCATCTGCCCCAGGGGAAGGCAGGGGGTCCTCTGAAAGGAAATCGGGGTCCTGAGAGAAGAAAAGAGGGGTTCTGATTGGCCAAAATGCAGCAGTGTCCGTAACAGCCCATTTCTTCTTTGTACCTGGTAAACAGTGAGTATTTGAAAAGTCAGTCGCTGTTGTGTCTGAATCTTTGTGACCCCATGGACTGTAGCCCATGAGGCTCCTCTGTCCATGGAATTCTCCAGGCAATAATACTGGAATGGGTTGTCATTTCCTTCTCCAGAGTATTTGAAAGGACCATCTGAAAATGGTTACTCAGCTTCCAGCTTCAGCAGAGTGCCCCCTCCCTCCTGCCGTGGTGGCGGGGGTGGCAGATGGAGTCTCACCCAATTCCCCATGGGAGGCAGAATGGACTGATGGAGACAGCCCTGGGATGCCGGTCAGGGGGTCCCCCACAGGCCTCTGAAAAGCAAAGATACATCTGCTCCCTCTGCAGCAAAGGTCCAGGTGATGTGTGGGAGATGCTTTGTAAAGGCAACATATTACCAACCACAGCCCACCATGCTGAGATGGGGAGGGAAGGTGTTTGTGGAAGAGGAAAGCCAACAGGGGCCTCATCAATGATGAATGCATCAGTGAATAAATAATGCAGAGCTTTGGGGATCCTTTTAGAAGCAGTATGTTTCCACTCGGCTTTCCCCACTGAAAATGTTTTTCCAAAAGTGCATCTCCAGAATGAGATGCCTGTGACGCATGCACAGCCACAGGGAAGGCCTGGTGTGTTGTCCTCCAGGCAGTCCAGGGAGGACTCCATGACCTTGGGGAGTCTGCGGGGAGTCAGTCCCACTGGGCCCCAAGGGGCGGCTCTGATTCATCAGAGGGTTCGTCCAGTGGCCCCTCCTCTCAGGCATTGGTGGCCATCATCCTGCCACCAGCCCCTCCACACACCAGTACTTTCTGAAGCCTTTCCCACTTCCCCAGGAAAGTGGCAGTTTGACTCACCTTGTTTCCCCACTTGAGTGTTGTCCTATATGCCTCCATCACTCCTGAGGGCACACGACTGTGTCTGGTCCACTCCTGCCATCTTTCATAGTACAATGCTGAAAGCAGACTGGCTGCAACCATCTTTTAAGTCTCTTTTTAAGGTAAACTTTTTACGGACACAAATGTTCACAAACCACATGTACAAAGCTGGATTAATCCATGAAATACACACACCTGTATAACCAGCACCCAGATCAAGCAAACAGAAATGACCAGCGCCCAGATGTCCTCTGAATTCTGTTCATCACCCCCCACCCCAAAGCTAGCCACCACCATGCAATATAAAACCATACTTTTGCCTGTTTTGAACTTCATATAAATAAAGTATATTTACTCTTTTGGAAGTGGCTTTTTTTTTTTTACTCCAGTGAGTTAAAATGTCTGTGAGATTTATCCATGTTGTTCGTTCTCATTGCAAAGGAGTGTCCCACTGTATGAATACACAATAACCTGTCCATTCTATTGTTAATGGATGATTGGGCTGTTTCCAGTACTGTCTTTCTTTTTGGTGGACATATGTATACATTTCTGTTGGATCTAAACTTAAGAGTGATTTTTCAAGGTCAGAGGGCAGGTATAATTAACAGATTTTTGAGCATATGCCTGCCTGTGTGAATAAACGAATGTCTCCAGCTTCAGGAACAAAACCAGTAGCCCCTGTTCCTGACGTCTGTTCCCTCAGAACTCTATGCCACATCCATCTCAAAGGTCAGAATTTGGTGCCGATAATCTTGGAGGGCCAGATCCCAGCCCCTAGGAACCTGGAGGACCTCGTGGTTTGCCAGCCCAGCCTCTCTTCTGTACACAAATGAGTCAGTCCATCATTCTTCAATATTCCCCCAATCCACCTCCACCTCCACCTGCAACAGTGACTTCCTGACTTCAGTCAACTTCCTCCCTCCCTCCTCCCCACCACCGACCTTGCTCCCTTTCTGAGGCCTCTGTCCTCTATCAGGCTGACTGGGGCCCATGTGCTGTCCTGTTTGATTCAGTAAACACTGCAGCACTAGGAATTCGCTGCCTGCCTGTGACTCTTGAGATAGGTGGGGTGAGGCTAAACCCCCTGGGGAAGAACTGACCTCTCCAGGACCCCCAGAGGATTCTAGTTGGACCCCCTGATCGTGTGCTGATCTCCTGGCGACCTACAGAGATGCCCACTCAAGGCCCCATCCATGTTCACTGGGGCCTTTGTTCCTTGGCAAACTCCAATCCTTCCCACATTCAGTGCAGCTCCTACATCAAGCTACAGTCACCCAATAGTCTATAGATTCTCAGCAAAACCAGGCTCTGAAGATCCCTATGAATCCCACGTGGCCTCAGGAAGCCCACCCTCTAGACGTACCACAGAACCCCAGCCCTGGGTCCTCCAGTGGTTCCAGACCTCACCGCATGGCCTCTGAGAGCACCACGTGGTTACACCTGTGGTTCTTCCAAGGTCTCCTGCCGGAACATGGTGTACCTACATTTGCTTGATGAATTTTGGCATTAGTTCACACAGGCAGACTCTAAACACAGGGGCAGAAACCCTCAGTCTACTACACGGGGCTCTTCCTTGTTCACGGCTGGGTCATCAGAGTCAGGGGCCACAGTCCCCTGCAGTTGGCTGCCCCCCCCCGAGGCAAGCCTGACGTAGGTGAGGGCTGATGCTTACCACAGGAAGCAGCTGGTATCCAAGGCCCCACTTCAGTGAGGCTGGGAGCAAAAGGAGGTAGAAGCCACTAATACCTAAAGTGCTAGGTTAAAAAAATTGTTTTTCTAGGTTTACCTTTACATGTACTCTTGGCTTGGCTTTGAAGTGAAGTGAAGTCCCTCAGTCATGTCCAGCTCTTTACAACCCCATGGACTGGAGCCTACCAGGCTACTCAGTCCGTGGGATTTTCCAGGCAAGTACTGGAGTGGGTTGCCATCTCCTTCTCCAGAGGATCTTCCCGACCCAGGGATTGAACCCAGGTCTCCCACAGTGTAGGCAGAGGCTTTACTGTCTGAGCTACCAGGGAAGTTGTGAAGTGCTAAGATCTGAGGCCAATTCCCAGGAGGGTTCTTAGATCCAGGGTGGGCCACTCCTTAGCCTGAAGCAGTGTCTGGGTCTCGGCCAAATCCAGGACGAGGTCAAGCCAGGCTGGGCAGAAATCTAGAGCAGTAGACAAGGGTGCATGAGGTGATGCCCAGAGGCTGGGCTGTGGCTCCTGGATGCCCCTGCCTAGAGCCAGGGCTGGGGGGTGCTGGGGTAGGCGAGGTGTGGGGAGGAGGGAGGCGGTAAGGGAGAGCAGCAGGAGAGGGCAGGCGTGACTGCAGGGCCTTAACCAGCGAGGGCTAACACCAGCTGGATCTGGATGTTTGGGCCAAGCTCTGGACCTGCTACCTACCTGCAAATTATGAGCGACTCACCTGCCTTTACTGTCAGTTTAGCTCTGGGATGCTTCAGCCATGAACTCATGAAGTTATCCTGTCCCACCTGGCACAGACGGTAACTGGGTTTGGCAGGTGAGATGGTGTCTGTGGAAGTGCCTTGCTAAATTCCCCTTCAGGTGCTGTGTGGCTTCGAGGATCCACGCTGCTGCACTTTCTGCCATCATCCTGCAGTGACGGTCCAGATCTTCTGGGCATGAATCCTCTGGGATGCACGCACACTAGGTGATGACTCGTCATCAAAGAGGACTGAAATGCCCCACCAGAGACCTGATCTGCCATCTCCAAATCCACACACACAGTTTCGGGCTGGGAACTGAGGACGACAATGAGAAACAAATCCCCTCTCCAACCCACTGGCTCAAAACTCTTCCAGTCGTGGGTGGAGGCCTGACTGGGGTCCGTCTCTGGGGAGGCCAGGTGGTTCCAGGACACACAGTCCGCAGCCCAGCCTTCAGCAGCCCCTCCCCCAGCAGGGGAGCAGGTGGGAAGCTGCCCGGACTCGGGGGATCCCCACTCCCTCCCTCAAACCTCCAGCAATGTCAGGCTCCACCTGCACTGCCTGTCCTGGGACTCGGTATCTTCCAGCTTACAGGGTTTATTTCTGAGTGTATAAGTAATCATCAACTCGTTCTTTGAAAACTAGGAAAATTCCAAAACACAAACAGAAAAACACCATGAATATGCAGGCATATACTCTTATCTGCCTGGTTTCTGAAGAATTCTGACTTCTGATTCCTTCTCTTTGACCCTCACATCCCAGCAAGCCTGAGTCCTAAGGTCCCATCTTACCCCTTCATTCAGCACAGAATCGGAGTGGGACCCCAAGGGTTAAAGGCATTACCAGTTCCCAGTGACTGAAATGTAATGAGGACGAGATGCTAAATTAAAGTTTATTGCAGAATAAAAGTGTGTGTAGTCAGCATCTGTAAGATGCTACAATGAGATGCTTTCTAGAACTTGGCAATACAATTATGTAGAGAGTTAAATTAGTAGAATGCACACACAGTTGATGAGATTAGCTGTCTACAAAAGTCACTTTAAAAGATAAGTTATCTTTTGTGAAGGCAGGAAGAGCTAGCCTAGATTCCTGATTAAGCACAGAGGCAGCAATGGCCAAATCCGAGCACTGAGATGCCTACAGAAAGATGGCATGTGTGTCTTTGTGCATGGGTGTGTGTGTGTGCTGCGGTGGGGGGGCTCCATGTGGAGCACAGGACAGCGGGAGGGAGGGAGAAGCCTGGCAGCGTCTGGATGAGGAAGGGGAAGGTGTCCGCTGGGTCAGGGACAGAAAGGGGACCCTGTGCCCTGTGGCTCACCCACTCTCTGCCTCCTGGCTCAGCCCCCAAGGTCCTGAGAGTGGGAAGGGCTACAGAAGGAGGCAAAGGGCCCAGCACACCGGCTCCACGGCCAAGGTGACTGGATTCAAACTCCAAGTCCCACTTACTTGCAGGCTGAGCCACTTTGGGCAAATGTTTACTTCCTGAGGCCTTTTCCTGGTATGAGATAAGGATGCTGCAATCTCTCCTGGAGGGCTGCTGTGGGGATAACTCAGGAAGCAGGAAGGCAGCTGTATCATTATTACTATGAACAATGGCATTACTTTTATTACTGATGAACAAATTTATTTAGCACTGCCCATGAGGTTACTCAATAAAAGCCAACCCCAAAGCTGCTCTGCTCTTGGTAATTCAAGCTCTTCGACCTGCCATCCTGAGTCTTGGTGACCAAGTGACCGGGCCCCGAGGCTCAGCAGGGCAGCGGCCGCCCTGGCTGCCAGCCTGCAGTCAGAGCCACCGTACATGGGATGTGTGAGCTGAATACAGAGTGCAGTTCTGTGTGGAATAAACCCTGTTTGTTAGGGAACGTAATTTTTATTTGTATAAACCTCATGCAGCCAACAAAACAGTTACTTAAAGGGTTCTGGGAGTTATCAAGTGGTGACTATGAGTGTATAGGGTATGCAATAATAACTATCTGCAATAAGTTTCTGTAAAATTTAAATGGAATAATGATGTAAACAACTTATTTCCTAGCACAAAGTAAGCACTGATATAAACGTTTCACATTTTGCAAATGAGGTTTTTTTGTTGTTCATTTAGCTCACATTGTATTACTATTTAGACAGAACCTCTCCAAAGGCAGGGGTGGGGTGGGGAGGAAGAATATGCCAAAATTCAAAATAGCGTATTTGTGCTGGTATAAAAGAAAAAGATCACGTTTATTTTACAAGGTAGTATTCTCCTAAAGTATTATACAGAGAGGAAAGTTGAGCTGTTTGTAGGAAAACAATGTAATTCTAGGAAATTAGAGAAGAATCAACATTGTGCTTAAAACTTGAAAACAGACAGGTTTTAAAAATCACACAGTAAGTGAATATTACAAGGTACAAACATCCTTAGAAGTACATATGAACACCATGATACGGAAGCTCAGCATTAAAACTGCTAGTGATGACTTGCCTTTAGACTTGTCCAGCCTATGAAGAGGGCACTTCAGTCTGAACAGAAAGAACCCAAAGCTCGACCAGAGACGCAGCTCTTTCCCAGCACAGCCAACTCTCAATTATCCATGATAGTGAAAGGGAGCAGTGACACAGAAGTCTTCTAAAGGTGAATTGTTCCCCAGTTGGTTCTGAGTGCCCTTGTACTCGTGGTTGAATGTGAGAAACACTGACAGCCCTGACCAAGAGCACAGCACACCCACTGCCTTCTCCCTCCTCAACGGGAAGAGACACAAGCACACAAAAGCCCGAAACACAGTGGTGGTTACTGTGCTGACTCCTCTGGAGTGGGGGGTAGGGGAGAAAACCCAAGAACACTTCATTTTCCTCGTGTAAAAGTCCAAAATATGTCAACAAAATTTTGCAAATAAGATGGAATAATAAAAGTGCTGACAGTATAAATATTCTTTTAATTGTGCTATTTCCCCCCTTGCCTAAAAGTATTTATACCACCAAAAGTATCTGGATATTTTGACAGCTTTCTAAATTACCTGGTTGCATCCTACTGCCTAAGTAGAGATATCTGCATAAAAGGAGGTTATGATCAAAGGAACTACGATGGTTCAAACAAGCCAGGAAGCAGAGATTAAGAAATAAAACCACCACTCTCAAGATAAAATCAAATCCTAGTTCAAATCCAAAAAAGTACTTCAGGGAAACAACTTTATGGTTTTGTTCTGGTTCTGCTGATTGTATTTGTACTATATTACTTTGAACTACAGGTCAACCCCTTCCAGGAATGCGGCAGTTTTTCTACAGAGGTTTTTCTCAGATTTACATTTCAAATCTTGAATATACCTGATTTTTGATTGTAAAGCTTCCATTGTTAATGTACCAAATAGTTATAACCACAAAAACATTTTAATTGCTTTGTTATTTCTCAGAAAAGTCATGAACACATGTGAAACTTGAAAATGCTAAAAGAAATCTTGGTTAGATCAGAAAGCTAAACTCCATACAGTACTTATTTCGTATCTTCTACCTAATAGCTTTTACACCAACTTTCAAAAAGTGGGAATGGTGTCAGCTTTTGACAAAAGCCTGAGATCCATTTACACAGCCCAACTCTTTGCCCCAAGTGAGCAAACGTCCAAGTGATAAAGCTTTCATATCTCTCAGTGTACAAGTATTAATCAAAAGCCTATTTAACATAACTGTGCTCAATGTCTATAATACACACTGCAATCTAAACATTTTCTAAAGTGCCTATAAATATGCTTATACAAATGCATAATGTAGTATCAGAATTACAGAGAAATTCTTTCATATAATATAGAACAGAATAGGCCTAGAATTTAAGTTGAAACTACATATTTTTATACCCTTATCAGTTTTTTTTGGAATGCAAGCATAAAGAAACAATTCTGATTCAATCATATATGATTTTCAAATAATTATTAACAGTGATAGGACAAAAAAATTCTTGCTTGTGCTTATTTAGAAAAGGCTATTTTGAGATCCAGGAGCATTTGATATTTAGAATCCAATGGGATGTCTCCAATTCTATAAAATTGATAGTAGTAAGTGAATCTTAGTGAGTTTTTAATTATAAAGAGTTTATAAGAGTATTTAAAGTGATTATCAACTAGTGTTAAATCCAAAATTCCATTAAAATCCTGGCTAATCTGAATGGCAGTTCAGGAGTTTTTAAAAATAGGAACCTAGGCAAAAGTCATATATATTACTAAGAAGGGCCCTACCCTGGCACAGCCAGTCTCAGAAGCGTGGCCCTGAGCCCATGGATTCCCATGGCTTTGGAGACCTGGTGATTGACCCCAACTATCAACACATTAACAGATGGAGGAGAGAACTGATAGAAGCAGTACAAAGAGAGCTTCGTATTCCTGTCCAGGGATGAAATGAGCTCACCCACGGCTAGGTGCAGACAGGACCCTGGCTGCAGCTGGCCAGTCAGTCCGGGCAGCACTGAGAGAGCCCAGAGCAGGGCTCATCAGCTCTTTGTCGCTAAGCCTTTCTCCCCACACCTGCCTCTGTCGCCCTCTCCTGGGCCCCGCTGGCCCTGGAGCTCTGGACAGCACCTTCTCCGGTTGATGTGTTGAGTCTTTATGTTTCAGTAAGTGGAAACTTTATGCTGGCTGCATTCTCACCTACCACACAAAGTGTTAAGTAACACTGCTTTCAAAGGAATACGCGCACTCTGCTTCCTAAACCCTAAGGATGTTTAGGGCACCTGAACCTAACAAAATGTTCTAGCCAGTCACGTGAACTGCACATACAACTAGGAAAGCAGGTTCTGCCTGGAGAGATTTGTGCAGGATGCCAAGTGGAGGCTTCAAGAAAGGACACAACAGGCCTCTTCTTGTTTCTTAAAATATGAACTAGCGTGACACAGAAGAGTCGCATCGTAATGCCAACAGAGCACATGATGATGCCATGAGAGCACGCTCGTGGCGAGCCAGGGTACAGGGAGTGATTCTCTGTCTCCAACTTGGGTAGTTTAGTTTCGTGTGGCCGTATTTCAAACTTCCTGGATTCTTAACAATGCCTCACAGACAGTACATCTGGAGAAATGGCAGATAACCAACTCACACAAGAACACCTGTTATAAGTGGAGATTAGGAGCAAAATTCTGAAGACAGCTAAATAAGAAAGAATCAGTCACTATTTTATGTGTGTAAGAAAAGAGAACATTTACAACAGTCCATGAATATTACTGTAGTAAAGGAAATGAATGTTACACAAAATATTTTTTCCTGACTTAGCAGCGAACTATTTCAACTGTTTTTGCATTGGCATAAAAAATCCATGCATCATACTGAATTCTAATCCATTTCTCACCTAAGCCATTCTAATGCTTCATACAACCAAATGAAGCAGAGTTAATCAAACCTATTAGATTCATTCCTAATCCCTAAAGGACTGCTGTCTTTAGCATTTCCATGCTAACTAAAACTATTACTGATTTTTTTCCTTAAGACATCAGATGTGGCTGCCTTCTAAATATAATACCTATATGACTTCCTAAAAGTTTCCCACAGATTTGAACAATTTTAAATAGCAGGGAAATGTTGAGGAAGCCACCCCTGAGGCCAGCTCAAATGCTACTCCTTCAGCTAGCCCAAGCCAAGTGCATCTCTGCCTCCCCCAGGTTCCCAGGGCACTCTAGGTCCCCTCACCTGCATGGATTACCTCCCCAAGTGGACTATGGTCCCTTCCTGCTGGGAGTCAGGCCTTATTCATTCTGTATCCACACAGCACCCTGGAGTGGGGACAGGCATTCAACCTAAGCTGGACTGAGCATGAAACAGATGATGTCATCTCTTCTGGAGCGAGGCCGAGCCCTGCGCCAGGAGGGCTGGTGGTGCAGACACTGCCTTAACTGGGGGCTGAGCTGGCCTCCAGGAAGCTGTGCCAACACTGACCTAGAGCCAGGGCAGGTGGTAGGGAGAAGAGGGGAGGACAGAATGGCCTGCGCCAGAGCACAGCCTGAACAGGTCACGTGAACCAATTCTCCACCCGGGACTAGCAGGGGAGCGGTGCTCATGAGCATGCCAAAAGGGCTGCCAGAGAGTTGTTCTGCGAAGAACTGGCTATTTTTAGAACAGTATCTCCTTCACTCTGGGTATCTCCTCAACCTGATCCATGACGCTCTGTGATCATCGCTTCATCGCTTTCAAAGTTCCCAGTGAAATTAAGGCTGGGTCACAATTCATGACACCAGATGCTACACAGAAAGGAAGTGTAGATACAAAAGAAAATCATTTTTAACAAAAGAATGTCTTAGTTATAAGACGAATTTAAAAGTGAAGCTAAATCAGCAGACCACTGAACTGCTATGGTTGTTATAGAGGGGTAGAAAACACTGCACTGGAAAAAGGATCCATCAGACAAAAGTACAAAAGCTCAGCATGGATCAGAGGACGTGGCTTCCTGCCTGGACCCTCACACGGTGGTTTCTATTGTTTCAATCACTTCCAGATCAGACTGCGAGGGGGAAAGAAGGGTGCACTCATCTGGCTCCCAGCTGCTCTCTGGACTGTAATCTTCCTCTGAACTCAGTTCTGCTCCTTCTTCCGTGTCCTCATCACACGATTCCACATAGTGAGCCCCAATCGCGTTGATCCCAGAGTCCTCGGAACTTGAGGGAGAAGAGCAGTGATCTATTTTTGGTGTGTTGCTCTCTTTTGAAATAAAGGCATCATGTGCAGAGACCTCCTCGGGGCTCATTTTGTGGGAATGTGGTGCCGGCTGCTTCTGCACGTAACACATCTTCCCATTAATACATTTAACCTGATAGTTGTCAATAAAGAGGTCTGAGATCATACAGTACCTTGGCGAGTCAGGGGGGAGAGGGGGCTGGAAAACAGATGCGAATTTCAGAAAGTGTTCAGTGAGGGAGACCGAAATCTGAATGGTGTTGGCAGGCTCCCAAGGCTTTGAAGGAATCTCCGTGCTGGGAAGCTGTTCCACAGGGGTCATCGGCTGATACACGTACTTGCCTATGGGGGACACAAAAAGGCAGCTGAAATCTAAGGGTGCTACACATGCTAGGGTAAGGTAGCCATAATGGTTTCTGAGGACTCAGAATGTTTTTAAAAATATTTCAAAACCATCCCCAAAGAAACTAAAGATAGAATCAACATGGTTATAATCAATCAAAAATTCAGCATGGTACATAAACATCATGGTGTTTCCATCTAAAAACTCAACACACGTTACAAATCTTAATTTTATATTTAAGTCTCTGGAGTAGGTGGGTGGATACTATCATCCTTATTTTACAGGCATCTTGAAATGATTTACCCATCATACCAGAATAAAGAACGTTTACAATATAATATGGTAAAAACACACTGTAAAATAGTATTGTTGTTGTTATTCAGTCATGTTCAACTCTTTGCGACCCCATGGACTGCAGCATGCCAGGCTTCCCTGTCCTTAACCACCTCCTGGAGTTTGCTCAAACTCACGTCCATTGAGTCGGTGATGCCATCCAACCATCTCATCCTCTGTCATCCCCTTCTCCTCCTCCCCTCAATCTTTCCTGGCATCTGGGTCTTTTCTAATGAGTCGGCTCTTTGCATCAGGTGGCCAAAGTACTGGAGTTTCAGCTTCAGCATCAGTCTTATTTTATGGTGTAAAATAGTATAATATGCCATAAAATTATAATTCCATTTTATCTTTAGTGATTAGATGCTAATATAGAAACTTAAATGGGCTTCCCCGGTGGCTCACCAGTAAAGAATCCACCTGACAATGCAGAAGACTCCAGTTTGATCCCTGGATAGGGAAGACAGATGCCCTGGAGAAGGAAATGGCAACCCACTCCATTATTCTTGCATGGGAAATCTCATGGACAGAGGAGTCTGGTGGGCTTCAGTCCAAGGGGTCATAAAAAGTTAAACAGAACTTAGCAAGTAAGCAACAATACATATTTAAAATTTATTAGCAGGATTATGGAAGCCTTTCATTCTTCAGGTTTCTAAATGTAAATCAGAATACATACACACACATATTTAATAGATAACAGCCTATAGGATTGTCCTGGTCACCCTCAGTGGCTGGGGTAAGGTACAGAGTATGAAACAATCTCTTTTAAAATGCAAAGCTCATCAGTGCCCTAAACAGGAGATATTCTCCCTAATGCCAGCTTCACAGGCACAACCTCAGCCAAGCAGAAGTAAAGGCACAGGCAGATGCAAAGAGTGACCTGCAAAAAATCAAGAAGCTTAACCCCAAACCTTCCCTCTGCTCTGAACCCTTGAGTGATTCTCACAGAATTTATGTGGAAGTGAAACCTAACTGGATCTGTTCCTACTGTCTCTTTCCTCATTTTCTTCACTCAACAGTTAACAAAGCCATCTCTGTATAAAGTGTTAAGAAAATAGAGATGACAATTACCTAGTCTGTAAGCCTAACCAAAATGATCACATGGATGACAGCTTTGTTTAACTTAATGAAACTATGAGTCATGCCATGTAGGACCACCCAGAACAGACTGGTCACGGTGGAGAGTTCTAAGAAAATGTGGCTCACTGGACAAGGCAAACCACTTCAGCATTCTTGCCTTGAGAACTCCATGAACAGTATGAAAAGACAAAATGATATGACATTGAAAGACGAACCCCCCAGATCAGCTGGTGTAGTATGCTACTGGAGAAGAGTGGAGAAATAGCTCCAGAAGGAATGAAGAGGCTGAGCCAAAGAAGAAACAATGACAGTCTTGGATGTGTTCGGTGGTGAAAGTAAAGTCTGAGGATGTAAAGAACAATATTGCGCTGAAATCTGGAATGTCAGATCCATAAATCAAGCAAATTGGAAGTGGTCAGAGAGGAGATGGCAGCAGTGAATACTGACACTGTAGGAATCAGTGAACTAAAAATAGACAGAAATGGGAGAATTTAATTCAGATGACCATTGTATCTACTCCCCTGGAGAAGGAAATGGTAACCCACTCCAATATGCTTGCCTGGAAAATCCCATGAACAGAGGAGCCTGGTGGGCTACATACAGTCCAGGGGGTCGAAAAAGAATCAGACATGACTTAGCGACTAAACAATTGTATCTACGAGTGGGCAAGAATCACTTAGAAGAAATGGAGCAGCCCTCATAGTTAAAAGAGAGTCTGAAATGCAGTACTTTGGTGCCATCTCAAAAATGACAGAATGATCTAAGTTTCCAAGGCAAACCATTCAATATTACAGTAATCCTAGTCTATGCCCTGAACACTAATGCTGAACAAGCTTAAGTTGAACACTACTATGAAGACCGATAAGACTTTCTAGAACTATCACCCAAAAAAATGTCAAATTCATCACAGGGAACTGGAATGCAAAACTAGGAAGTTAAGAGACACCTGGAGTAAATGCAAGTTTGGCTTTGGAATACAAAATGAGTCAGGGCAAAAACTAACAGTTTTGCCAAGAGAATGCACTGGTCTTAGCAAACACCCTCTTCCAACAACACGAGACGGACTCTACACATAGACATCACCAGATGATCATACCGAAATCAGATTGATATTCTTTGCAGCTGAAGGTGGAGAAGCTGTATACAGTGAGTAAAAACAAAACCTGGAGCTGACTGTGGCTCAGATCATGAACTCCTTATTGCAAAATTCAGACAACTTGAAGAAAGTAGGGAAAACCACTAGGCCATTCAGGCATAGCCAGTCCCTCCCATCAGCAAGCTTCCACAAGCTTCTTATCCTTATCCATCACAGGGCAGAAGGATTTTTAACTTACACGCATATTACATCATGCGAAATGCCGCACTGGATGAAGCACAAGCTGGGATCAAGATTACCCGGAGAAATATCAATAACCTCAGATATGCAGATGACACCACCCTAATGCCAGAAAGCGAAGAGGAACTAAAGACTCTCTTGATGAAAGTAAAAGAGGAGAGTGAAAAAGCTGGCTTAAACTCAACATTCAAAAAACTAAGATCATGGCATCCGGTCCCATCACATCATGGTAAATATGGGGAAACAATGGAAACAGTGACAGATTTTATTTTCTTGAGCTCCAAAATAACTGCAGATGGTGACTGTAGTCATAAAATTAAGACACTTGCTCCTTGGAAGAAAAGTTATGACCAACCTAGACAACATACTAAAAAGCAGAGACATTACTTTCCTGACAAAGGTCTGTCTAGTCAAAGCTATGGTTTTTCAAGAAGTCAAGTACAGATGTGAGAATGGGACCATAAAGAAAGCTGAGTGCCAAAGAACTGATGCTTTTGAACTGTGGTATTGGAGAAGACTCTTGAGGGTCCCTTGGACTGCAAGGAGATCAAACCACTCAATCCTAAGGAAATTAGTCCTGAATATTCACTGGAAGGACTGATGCTGAAGCTGAAGCTCCAATACTTTGGCCACCTGATACAAAGAACTGACTTGTTAGAAAAGACCCAGATGGTGGGAAAGAGTGAAGGCAGGGGAGAAGGGGACGACAGGATCAGATGGTTGGATGGCATCACTGACTCGATGGACAGGAGTTTGAGCCAGCTCTGGGAGTTGGTGATGGACCGGGAAGCCTGGCGTGCTGCAGTCCATGAGGTAGCAAAGAGTCAGACAGGACTGAGTGAATGAACTAACTGATTAAGGTATGACCTAAATCTAATCCCTTATGATTATACAGTGGAAGTGACAAATAGATTCAAGGGATTAGATCTGATACAGTGCCTGAAGAACTATGGACAGAAGTTTGTAACACCATACAGGAGGTGGTGATCAAAACCATCCCCAAGAAAAAGAAATGTAAAAAGGCAAAATGGTTGTCTGAGGAGGCCTTACAAATAACTGAGAAAAGAAAAGAAGCTAAAGGCAAAAGGAGAAAAGGAAAGATATACCCATCAGAATGCAGAGTTCCAAGAATAGCAAGGAAGAGATAAGAAAGCCTTCCTAAATGAACAATGCAAAGAAATAGAGGAAAACAATAGAATGGAAAAGACTAGAGATCTCTTCAAGAAACTCAGAGATACCAAGGGAACATTTCATGCAAAGATGGGCACAATAAAGGACAGAAATGGTATAGACCTAACAGAAGCAGAAGAGATTAAGAGGTGGGAAGAACACACAGAAAAACTGTACAAAAAAAGATCTTAATGATCCAGATAATCACAATGGTGTGGTCAATCACCTACAGCCAGACATCCTGTAGTGTGAAATCAAGTAGGCCTTAGGAAGCATTACAACAAACAAAGCTAGTGGAGGTGATGGAATTCTAGTCGAGCTATTTCAAATCCTAAAAGGTGATGCAGTGAAATTGCTGCATTCAATATGCCAGCAAACTGGGAATTCAGCAGTGGCCACAGGATTGGAAAAGGTCAGTTTTCATTCCAATCTCAAAAAAGAGCAATGCCACAGAATGTTCAAATTACTGCACAATTGCACTCATTTCACATGCCAGCAAGATAATGCTCAAAATTTTTCAAGCTAGGCTTCAACAGTACATGAACCAAGCACTTCCAGATATACAAGCTAGATTTAGAAGAGGCAGAAGAACCAGAGATCAAATTGCCAACATCCACTGGATTGTAGGAAAAGCAAGAGAATTCTAGAAAAACATCTACTTCTGCTTCAATGACTACGCTAAAGTCTTGGTCTGTGTGTATCACAACAAACTCTGGACAATTCTTAAAGAGATGGGAATCCTAGACCACTTCACCTGTCTCCTGAGAAACCTGTATGTAGATCAAGAGTAACAGTTAGAACTGGACATGGAACAATGAACTGGTTCAAAATTGGTAAAGGAGTTTGTCAAGGCTGTATATTGTCACCTGCTTATATAACTTATATGCAAAGTACATCATGTGAAATACCAGGCTGGATGAAGCTCAAGCTGGAATCAAAAGACTGCCAGGAGAAAAATCAACAATCTCAGATATGCACATGACACCACCCTAATGGCAGAAAGAAAAGAGGAACTAAAGAGCCCCTTGATGAAGTTGAAATAGCAGAGTGAAAAATCTGACTTAAAACTCAACATTCAAAAGA